GCCACCTGATCCAGGACGTGAACCGCGGTCAACTACATGGGAGTCCAGTGACATAGCCATTATGCTAACTGCTGGTTCTCAAGGGACCACAATCTTTTCTCCATTTCTCCATCCTGTCAACATTTTGATCACTCATACACTGCACTCTGTATGTTTCTCAAACTGCCTAGGCCAGCATTTGGACCTTGGTTAGCTATGGGGGATCTGGGCTCTTTACCCACTAAGCTATAGGGCAAGCCCCAGAAGGACTTTCTTATAGCTTCACTAATTTGTGTGTGATTCTCTTATGAGACAAAGGGATTTAAATAAAGAAAAATGTAAAATTGAAGAGTAATAGATAACAACAACAACAAAAAGAAACTAGCCTGGAGAACACAGAATGAAGTGACCGGGGATTTCTTTTTTTGTTGTTATTGTTTGTTCAATTTGCTGGGGGGTGCATGTGCTCGCTGGAGTCAGAGAGAGAAAGTGAGAAAGCACCTCACATGGGGAACAGTCACACCCTAATCCCTTCTCCCCCACTTTCCCCTCAGGATTTTGGGCATGCACACACACACACACATGCCTGGCGTATTTTAAAATCACTGGGTCCAGGATTCAAACTACATGGTCAGCCGTGTGGGTTCCAGCACCTTAATCACCATGCCACCAGCTGGGCCATGATTGGTAATTTCTAAATGGCATTAATTTCACGCCCATATCCTATTCCCTTTAGCTATTTTTTAATTTAAACTTTTCCACAGCTTAAAACCACAAAATATAACCATTACATTGGGTCATTGGAAAAGCCATGACATAGTTTTCTGTTTTTCTATGCAAAAACGTGTCATGTCTTTTCCGACGACCCTAATACAGTTGTCGCTTAGGACCAGACGTTGACCAGGAGATATAATACACTTTGCTCAAATTGGAAAATCAAATTCCTCTTCCTGGATATCTTTGGCAGTGTACTGCAATAAAAATCTGACTTTCTGTCTCCACTTCCTGCTCTTTGCCACCCTCTAAAAGATCTGCAGATTCCACCTAACTTAGAGAGGAATCACAATTCCTTTTTACTTTCCAAGTCACATGCAACTTTTGAACTCGGATTGGACCAAAAAAATATATTTTACTCAACTTTCTCAACTGCCCAAGATGAAAATCTCTGATATTAGGAATATCCTCGTTTTACAGATGAGGTACCAAGAAAGTTCATTAACCTGCCCAGTGACGCGGACCTAGTGACCAGCGCAGCTGGATTTAGATACAATGGGCCAGACTTTTCTGTCCGCATTACCAGGAGGGAAGGTGAACTGGTGGGTTGATGCAGGTGGCCGGTGGCGGTGGAAACATGAGGTAGCTCTTACATAATGACATCGATTTTCTCAATGCAGCATTTGGTGAGTTCATTAGCTGAAGGGGTGAGGAGAGGGGATACTGGAGATGTGAGAAGAGAAGGTGAGACCTTCTAGCTTCGGAGGGAGGGACTTTGCCAGCAATGACCACCAGTACTGACACTGACGGTCTTAAATTTGAAGTAAACCTATTTGTCCTAACTGGGTGATGTTTTCTAGTAATTTTGGGGCACTTGAAAGGAGGCATTAAAAAGGAGATTTGGGGGTGGGGAACGAGGCAGTTCTGTGGCCTTGTGGTTAAGGTAGCCAGATCCCACATGGCCGATTAAACAGCTGGAGTCTTGGACCTGGCAGCATGTGTGTGAGTGCCAAAATCCCAAAGCGGGGAGAGATGGAGGAGACTTGGGATGACCATCCCCGTGCTCATCTCTCTCTGGAGAGTGCACACACGCACCTCTAATTTTAAAAAGGACAGCTGGGTGGGGTGTTCTTCAGCAAGTGGGGCCTAAGAAGAAGGGACCAGGGAGCAAACAGTGTCTGCCAGAGAGTGTGGCAGCAGAGGGCCATGGGCTAGGTAAGGAGGAAGGTGTGGCCAATTCGGGATGCGATGGGTACTGGGGCCAGATAGTAGCAGGGAGGTAGCCCCCGGGACTCACAGGTAACGTCTGGGGCTTATTTCCCGGAACCTTCCTGGCCACGGTGGGCAGCCGTGTGCATGTCTATGATCAGAGCCAGTGACAACGGGGAGTGGAGTGTGGTGTGGGCATCTTCTCAGGGTTGTCTGTCTGTCTGTCTCTTTCTCTTTCTCTCTCTATTTCTCTCTCTCATGGAAGAAATAAACAACCTTAAAAAAATTCTTGAATTTAAATCAATTTTTTCTAATAGTTTCTGATGTTCTAAAAAAGAAAAAAAATTAAAAACCCTGTTTATAGAGTCTGAAACAGATTATAAAGGAAGAGACCTCTGGGATCAGCAGTTAGCATAATGGCTATGTCGCTGGACTCCCACGTAGTCGACAGCAGTTTGAGTCCCGGACCCGGTGGCTTAAACTCATGCTGGGCGCGTGTGCGTGCGTGCCCAGGATCCCGAGAGGAGAATGGAGGAGAAGGGATTGTGGCGTGGCCATCCCCCTTGGGGGTGATTTCTCGCTTTCTGTCTCTCTGCCTCTCTCTGTCTGTCTGGCGAGTGCACACCCCCTATAGCAAAAACCTCTCAAAAAAAAAAAAAAAAAAAGGAAGAGACCTCTAACAATGATATTTTCCAAATCCGTGAAAGATACATCTTCAAAAATTAGCCCATGGGTCAAGATAAACAGTCAGACAGCATCTTACTATTTTTCTTTAATATGAACAAACTGCCCAATGTCATAAAATAAAATCAGGCATTTTCTTGCTTAAGAATTCAATATTGGAGGACAGCAGGTTGCTATATGGTTATGGTCCTGGGCTCCCACATGACAGACTACAGTTTGAGTCTCAGATGCAGCACTTGAAAATCACACCAGGTACATGTGCGTGCGTGCCCAAAACCTGAGAGGAGAATGGGAGAAAAAGGATTATAATGTGGCCATCCCTCCCAGGGCTGATTTCTCACTTTCCCTCTCTTCCTCTTTCTGGCAAGTACATATGCTCCATAGCAGAAACCTAAAAAAAAGAGCCCAATATCAGAAGGCTAAAATTAGGTGAGTTCTGTCTTGATGGAGCAAGGAAAATAGCCCTTCTGAGCATGAGCTGACCAGAGCTATTAGAGTTCAAGCAGAAAAACCCAGGGACCTCTGGGAGAGGATAGATGAGATTGCCTACACATATTCTCTGGAGTACAATATGATACACGGGATATATTGCCATTCAGGTAGTAGTAGATTGCTCCATGAATCATTTCACAGGTATGCTCCTACGAAAAAATGAGATGTTCTCAAAGTTGCAGGGTTTTTCCTTAAATTTATTTGGAACATCTTTGTAAGACTAATATCATAAATTTTTCTGCTTTAACAACAACAAAAAATTGTTTTATCTCTCTAAAGTTGCCTTCTAAGTGTTTCTAATAAGCTCTCTGCATACAACTGTTGAAATTCTAGTCTTGTGTACTCTTAACATTTATGATAAGTAATAATTCTTTCTTTCTTTTTTTATATTTATCTATCTTTCTTTCTTTTTATCTATCTATCTCTCCATCTATCTAGCCATATATTTGTTGTGATTTTCAAGCCACTGGGTCTGGGACTTGAACTGCAGTTGACCATGTAGGAATCAAGTGCCTTAAGTACCACACCACCTACTGGCCCAATACTTATTTCTTAAAGACTGCATTTAATTTGGGTTAATCTAGAATCCCCCAAATCCAATGTCTTGTTTTCAAATTATATTTGATGGCTGAAGTAGGATCATCAATAAGAATGTGGACTGGTTCAACTAGAGGTTAGTTCAAAGGCTTTTCATTTTCCTCTTCCTCATACAGTCTGGGGTTCTTTCCACTAGACAGAAAACGTACCCATAATTTTATTATGCCAAATAAGTGGTCTTGAGAAAGCTGGCCAGTTCTCCTCCTTCAGTAAGCCTAATATGATGTGTCAGAGAAAGCTATTAGTCAATAACACACAGTGTGCACATTTATAACACACAGATGGCTTGGGAATAAGTTACTCCTTTGCTCCACAAAGCACCCAACTGGAAGTAATCTCTCCTGCACTAAATGTCCTTAGTACTTTGTACATTACTTATGAGACTTGCTCTTTGGAGTACAATCATTTCTGTGCTTGTCCTATTTTTCCTTCTAGATCATAAGCAGGTATGCTATGCCTTAACATCCTTGAGTAGTCTTTTTTTTCTTTTTTTTTTTTTTGGAGAGGTTTTTGCTATAGGGCGCGTGCACTCGCCAGACAGTCAGAGAGCGGCAGAGAGATAGAAAGAGAGAAATCAACCCCCAGGGGGGATGGCCACGCTGCAATCCTTTCTCCTCCATTCTCCTCTTGGGACCTTGGGCACACACACACACGTGCCTGGCGTGAGTTTAAGCCACTAGGTCCGGGACTCGAACGTGGTTGGCTACATGGGAGTTCAGCGACATAGCCATTATGCTAACTGCTGGTCCCACCATCCTTGAGTAGTCTTAAAGCAGTACAGTACTATTTGTATTTTCTTTAATACCCAGTACTAGTAGTAGAACAAAAGGCAATCACAATACTTGTCGCTACCAAACTCATTCGTATAAAAGATTAAACATAAACAGGCTCTGTGGCTTGGTCTAGAATCACACCAACATTAAGGTAACACAGGAAACCACTCTGAGTTCAAAAAACCTAGTTTACAAGTTGTCTGGCAGAACCAAGCAGAAGGGCTGGGCTTGATGGTGGCGCAGCAGTAATGAAGGGTTCTGTGAGGTGACCCACAAGAGAAGGGTATGGGTTGGTGTCCAGAGACCTCCCTGAACATCTGGGTACATACATGCCCTTGATGAGGGGCTAGCTGAGTGAGGCATGAGAACCTGTGGAGGTTGCCCCCTATATCTGAAGAAAGAAAGAAACTTCAAAAAAAAAAAAAAGAGCTAGAACACACCAGGAGCTGCTCATTCTGTATATGTACTAGAAAGGCCCCCCGACAGCAAATCTGTGAAGCTTGTTTAAACAAAAGAATTGCAAGTCATTCATAAACCAAAATTCCAACTTACCATTAATGTTTATTGCTGGTAATACAATTGACATTTTTGGTCTTGTGGTCTTGTTATGGGTGGTGGCTGGTAACAGCAGGTGATCCTAAAATGAACAAAAAACAATCTGTTACATTCGACAACTGGCTTAGTCCTAGAACTGGCCAAAGTCAGGGTTTCCAAGACGCCAACATTTCATTGGGACCACGAAAAATAAGTTATTTGAACTTTCTTAGAAGCAATTTACTGCAAATCATCAAGAAACATCCATTTGTTGGGACCAGCAGTTAGCATAATGGCTATATTGCTGGACTCCCATGTAGTCAACTGTGGTTCGAGTCCCGGATCCGGTGGCTTAAATTCACGCTGTGTGTGTATGTGTGTGTGTGCCCAAGATCCCGAGAGGAGAACAGAGGAGAAGGGATTGCGGCGTGGCCATCCCTGCCGGAGGGTGATTTCTCACTTTCTGTCTGTCTCTCTCTGTCTTTCTGGCGAGCACACGCGCCCTATAGCAAACACTTTTTTAAAAAATCCATTTGTTAATGCGCACATTCACTGAGCGACCACCATGACCAGGCACTAGGCAGTATCCTTGGGAACTGCAAGGTCCCGATAGCCCCTCTGCTGCAGGGCATTGCAAGGAGAGCTGGTCAGGCAGTTGGGACCAGGGCTCCAGTTCCAGTGGGTCACCACACGGCTGCACGACCGGACGCAGCTACATATCCTTTTGGGGCTCAGTCTCCAGCCCTGTAAAATGGCAGGCGCTAGTCTAAATGATGACACAAGGCACTGACGTTATCTACCCACTAAATGATCATTTTCAAACATTATTATTATCATTATTTAGAGATTTTTGCTACAATGTATGTGGACTGGCTGGAGAGAAAGAGCGAGACAGAGAGATGGAAAGTAAGAAATCACCCCCCAGAGGGGATGGCCACGCCACAATCCCTTCTGTATTCTCCTCTTAGGATTCTGGGCGCACACACACACACAGGCACCTGGTCTGAGTTTCAAGTCACTGGGTCCGGGGCGCAAATCACAGCTGACCATATGGGAGTCCAGTGCCTTAATCACTATGCCACCTACTAAGCCCTCAAACCTATTTTTAAAGAAGAGGAACTTTTAGCTCAACAAAATTTTTGGCCCAATTATTGACGTGGGGCCAGCTCATAGTGCAGTGATCGTGCACTACTCGACAGTGCTAGACCCACACGGGAAAGGTTCCGGGTCTGAGTTCTGGGACTCCCCCAGCCTTCAGGGTACACACACCCAAGTCTGTGACCCAGGCTGAGGTTGGGAGCCGACAGAGCATGAAGATCCTGCTGAGGGTACCTGTCTCTGCTTACCTCTCGTTTGTAGAATGAATGAATGAATGAATGAATGAATGAATGAATGAATAAACTTTAAAAATACATATACCAAAACCCTAAAATAATAATAATAACGAATTTTTTAAAAATAATCAAATTAAGGAGCTTTTAAAAGTAGACTTTGGGCCAGCCAGTGGTGTGGTAGTTAAGATGGCTGATCCCTACATGGCCAGCTGCATGGCTTTAGTCCCTTACCTGGTGTCAGGCACATATGTGTGCCCAATATCCTTTTTTTTTTTTTTGGAGATTTTTTTTTTTTTTTTTGGCTTTAGGACACGTACACTCGCCAGACAGACAGAGAGAGACAGAGAGATAGAAAGTGAGAAATCACCCCCCCAGAGGGGATGGCCACGTCGCAATCCCTTCTCCTCCATTCTCCTCTCGGGATCTTGGGCACGCACGCACACGTGCCCGGCATGAGTTTAAACCACCGGGTCCGGGACTCGAACCACGGTTGACTATGTGGGAATCCAGTGACATAGCCATTACACTAACTGCTGGTCCCCCTATGCCCAATATCCTGAAAGGAGGGAAAGATGAAGGAGAGATATTACAGCATGACCAAGACCCACGGAGGTTGGGGGTGCTTTCTCACGTTCTCTCACGTTCTCTCTCTCTCTCTCTCTCTCTCTCTCTCTCTCTCTCTCTTTGGTGAGTGCTTGCACTCTCTGGCAAATTATAAAAAAAAGGAGACTTTGATGTAGCTAAGTGTGATAAAAATCAATGCAACTTAGTTCAAAGTCTTGATTATAACTGCAAATATCAGCAAAACTAATAAAAAATCTAGCACGTGAAAAACGAATTGAAATCGAGGTATGTGAACAGAACTGTGCAGGAAACGTTTCCAGTAACTATGCTCTGTGTAATTCAAGGCAACATTTCCATGAGAACATGTTTGTTAAGGGGCGGGGGTGGGGTGGTGGTGGTGAGTAAAGCACCGTTAGAATTCCAGAACTGCAGCACAGCGGCTTTTTTGTTTTGTTTTAAGTGCATTGTTAGACACAAAGATCACACATTTTTGTAAGTAAGATAACATAGCATAACCAAGAAAAAGTACAATTTGCTGATCTTCTTGCCATGGAAATTATAAATAGCTTAATTCCTATTATTAAAATACTGCTTTGGGGCCTCTAAACTGGATGAGAAAACAAACCAGAAAACTCGCAAGACCCAAATTAAGGCTATTGTGAAAATAAACGCACTTAGATTCCACTGGTTGTGGGTTAAGGTCAGGCTCAGACTGAATTCTGTTTCCTGCTAAAGTCGAGATGCCATTCTAAACGCTGTTTTTAAACATAATTTGCCCAACATAATGCCTCCTACTTCCTCTCTAGTCAATTTCCAGCAAAGTAGTTCTGAATTTGCAGAAGAAAGCCAAAAACCACGTTATCATGAAAAAGAAGAATCTCATCTTGCAGCATGTAAATTATTCCAGTTAACCTGACTGTCTCTCATCATTAAAGGTTTGAGGACTAGAGAAACAGCCTGCAATTTAAAGTGCTTGTTTACCAAGCAGCTCAAAGGCCAGAACTACGGGGAACCAAAGCTGGTAACATGCACTTCAATAGAAACACGTACAAGACCAGCCTGTGGCATTTGGTTAAGGCAGCTGGATCCCACATGGCTGACTGCATGGTTCAAGTCCCAGACATGGCAGCCTGAAAAACACACTGGGCATGTATGCGTACATGTTCAGTATCCCGAGGAGAGAATGGAGAAGGCGTTTTGGCATGGCAATTCCTCCCAGCGGGTCCTTTCTTACCACCACTCTCAGTCTCTTTCCAGCCAACACAAACATCCTATAGCAAAGTTTTTCAAAATGCATCCATATTGCTGGGACACTGCAGTTATTTAACATTTACCTTCACCTCCTCAAAATAAATGTTCTTTAGCCTCACAATGGTACATCTTGAATCATCTTTCACGTGTTCATCCCACTCTGTTTTAGATCATGAATCCTCTTAGTCACATCTTCGGAAACAAAGGCGCACTAGGGAACCTACCGATGGACGTTCACTGACTTCTAACCAGGCATTATAATGAAACTCTGAGCACGGCGCCCTGCCGTGTGAACACCGTGCTACAGACAGCACTTTCTTTCTAAGGATGTTAAGTCCAGGTTTTTATCTTGTTGAGGAAACAACATGGATTATGACAGAAATAGCCTTTTGTCCTGTAACACTCCCCTTCTACAGAATTAGAGTGAAAGCACGACCTGTGGCATGCAGTTGGCACAAAGCACCCTGAGTATGGCTGATATTCTCTAGGCTCCTCTGCAACCAGGTGGGGTCACATATTCCAGCCAGTGGGTCAAAAGGAGAAGTGACACGTGCAACCTCTTCAAGGTGGTAATGCTGGACGGCCGCCCTCCTCCTTCCCTTTCTTCCTTCCTGCTGGCTGGGAGGCAGACGTGACTGCCAGAGTTGGAACAGCCATCTTGGGCCGTGAGATGGAAGCTGCAAACTGGGATTGTAAAGCAACAGAAGAGGAGGACACAGGGACCCTGACGGTCAGGAAGTGACCGTAAGATCTTTGGGACCATGTCCCTGGACTCCCATGTAGTTGACCACAGTCTGAGTCCCAGACCCAGTGGTTTAAACTCATGCCAGGCCCATGTGCAAGCATGCCCAAAAACCCAAGTGGAGAATGGAGGAGAAAGAATTGTGGTGTGGCCATGACCCTTGGAGGGGGATTTCTCACTTTCTGTCTCTCTGTCTCTCCAGCAAGTGCATGTGCCCTATAGCAAAAATCTCTCTTTAAAAAAAAATAATCTTTGGAACCAACATGAGAAATAAATGAAATTCTAATTTGTCTAAGCCACTATTGTTAGGTTGTTGGAAAAGTCATAATGTATTTTTATATGCAAAAATGTGATATGTCATGACTTATCCTAGGATACAATATTTTGAATTTTCTGTCACTCAAAGTTTAAATCTAAATTTAATTACTAGTTAAAAATTTGTGAGACAGTACAGAAGGAATACAGCCAAAAGGAATCTCAGTAAGACTCATCAGGGATAGCTTTGTTAATTTTGTTTTTTTTTTGGAGGGGAGAGGTTTTTGCTATAGGGCGCGTGCGCTCGCCAGACAGAGAGAGACATAGAGACAGAAAGCGAGAAATCACCCCCCAGGGGGGATGGTCACGCCGCAATCCCTTCTCCTCCATTCTCCTCTCGGAATCTTGGGCACACACGCACACGTGCCCAGCATGAGTTTTAAGCCACCGGGTCCGGGACGCGAACTGCAGTCGACTACATGGGAGTCTAGCGACATAGCCATTACGCTAACTGCTGGTTCCCTAACTTTGTTAGTTTTTAACAGCATTAAAAATAATGTTTATTATCCTGCCTTCTCGATACTCTCTTAAATCTAGCAGAGTAGTAGAGCTAGTAGAGGAGCTTTCCTTCTCTTCCCCTTGCCCCCACGTCCTGCCTTTCTTCCTTGGTAAGTCAGTTAAAATAACCCAACTGTAACAAAAGCAAAACTACTCAAAAGAAAAAGGAAAAGAAGAAAGGATATTGGCACAGAAATAAATATGATATATCTCAGCACTGTCATTCAAACCTAAGTCACTAATTTTAAGACGTCTTCAACTGGACTCTTAAAAAGCCTTTACGGGGCTTAGATACTGCAGGATATCTTCAGGGATGAAACTATGTGGGCAAACATTAAAATCAATTCTCTGCTGCTCTTGTTCCCAGAAGTTAGAGACATAAAGGGCAGGGGAAGGGGA